TTTCCAAGGGATTCTCTCGTGCACACCCCGGCCAAACAACAACCAATTAACCAAAACAGTGAAATTATAGATAACTAAATCAAAGAATTTAAATAAATAGTAAATAAATATATACATAAATAAATAAATAACTTACGTCCTCTCAGCTCATATTGTAGAGTATTCCTTGAGTATACTCTATCGTTCCCACTTTTGCCAGCGCTGCCTCCCACCTCTTGCATCGAGGGAACTCACGAAACCGTTGGCTCTCCTCCGAACAAAACTGCGGAAAGTACTTATAATTTCGGAACTATATGTTTTTAAGAAAATTCAATTAGATAAACAGTAGAATAAAATAATTAAAGCAATTAAAAAAATAAATAAATAAAGTATATCAATGTATTAGTACGGACCATCTATCCTTTGACTGCATATCCCCAACCCTCTGTACAGATAGATTAGACAGGCTGAACCTCCCGAATACGTGCCCAAATTCTCAAGTTCGGCCTCCTCCAGTATGCACATATACTACGGATTCACCCGATCACACGTTCTATTGAGGAATAAAGTCGACCAGAGAGGAAACACCAAATAGAGCCGAATTGGACGTCTCATCATCTGCTCGGGTATCAACAAGTGATGTTGCACCATCCTCCATGTGGTCAACCCTTCTTCCATGCCTCATCAACCTCGTCCATATCGAGGTCCATAATCTCAGACAAGGTATATAAGCATTTCCCACGCTTCATATATCTCCCCGAACTCAGAAGTGACCATTCGTCCCTCCATCGAAGCACCCAATATCATCTGAACGTCGTGGAGATTGATAATCATCTCTCCCTCACGTCATATGGAAGTTGTTCATCTCAGGTTGCCTTCGCTCCACGAATGCGAACAACGACTGACCATCTATGCCCGATATGATGGAGAGGGCTAAGCGGAACAAGCCGGTCATCTGCAGAAAATGCTTGTCCTGACTGGAGTGTAGATTTTACACTCAATACGTTTACTTTACATGAATCTTTTGTTTAGATTTAATTATATTTGTGATTTAATTGATAGATTTTGTGTTTTATATATGAAAAACGAGAATTAAGTTTCCATGAAGGAAAAATGATCAAAAAGAAAGGAAAATGTTGCAAATAAGGAAATAAATAAAATTGGAAGAACGAATTTCACAACAGTTTTGGCAGTGTCCACCATTTCGAGCATATCTCTCTCATACGAACTACAAATCACCTAATTCTAACGGCATTGGAAAGCTATTTTCAAGGGCTACAATTCGTATCTCATGCATTTTTCGTAAATTTGAGCTCTACCAAGGTCAAACACGGATTCAAAACCAATCAAAGTGCATAAAAAGCTTCGGACGGTCGTCCCACTTATGAACTAAAATCTGGGACGGCCGTGCCATGATGCGAAACTCGACAGTTAACTATGAAAATTCAGATGGTCGTCCCAATGTGGCCCAAAACCTTAGACTTGCCGTCCGAGACCCCGAATCTACACAACAAGTGAGTTTTAATTGCACAAGGAACCTCTTTCCTTTGATCAAGTCGTAACCACTACGTAAACGAAATCCAACAGGATCCAAACACGGAATCTTACACCACAAAACGCGAAGAACGAAGATCGAAGACTCAAGCATAGTTTTTCTTATTTCTTTCATTAATTCTATTTTGTTTATCATAAGAATTACGAGTAGCTAAGCTTTTAGTTTCTAGGATTTTATTCGAACCTTATGTGGGATATGTGAACCCAATCCAATTTATGCAAGTTTTAATTTTGATTATTTCTTGTACTTGATTTATTAAGTGCATGAACTTGATCAATTTATGTGTTCTTTATTATTATTGTTGAATGCATGAATTGGAAGATCAGTTTAACAATTAGAACTGTGGTAGAAAAACCTTTGTTTTGTTAGCATAGAAATATAGTTAACCTCTTAAGTAGCAATTATTGAGATTTGTGCTTAATATTTTGTTCTTGATTGAATACAATAATTTAGTCTTGAATAATTGAATCATAATACACGCAGATGCGAGTTATGATTAATTTAGCATCTCAAGTTAGTAATCCGAGTTAATTACTTGTATAATTAAGGGAATTGGGGGATCGATTATCACACAGGGAAAGATAAAATCCTAGGCTCGTTAAATTTTGTAATCTTCGTGTTTACTTGTTTTTTTGCTAGCTATTTAATATTAGATAATTTAGTTTAATTAAATAAACTTTTGACTGTGCATGGTGGGCTTGAACATAGTTGTGAGTGTAGGTATTTCCACCAACACTCACGTCTATGGCGGCAGAAGCCAAAGCTTGTGGGACAATCTCGTAAGTGAACCGGACCAATGAGGTGATACGAGCCTCTACTCGCCCCGCTAGGCGCCCCTTGCAATTAATTATTTAGTACACATATTAGTTAATTTAATTAACTTAGCATATAACAATTAAATTCATTACATAAAAACAATAATAAACTTACCGATCCTTCCCAAATGTATTGCTGTGGACTTGAAACTCGATATCAAAATGTGAACAAGCGGGCCACTTGGAAATGGACCATCTAATACATGCAGATCAACCGTTGCACGGTCACAACCGTCACGGCCTCCACGAGGTACAACAACCTCCTCGTCCTCCTGAACGGGCTTCATCGGCTCCTCATCCATAGCATAGAATGGCCCGTCATCGGCCTCAACATGAGCAGCTGATGTCCTAGCTGCAATCTCTCTTCACATCTCCTACGTCGCACCGACATAGTCATCCGCTCCCGCTCCCGCTGCTAGGCCTCAGAAGCAGTTGATCGCACAAGTGTCTTCGACTGACCTACCATCTGTAAAATAAGATATTAAACAAATTTAATTCATGTATAAATAATAATAACTAATTAAAAAAAATTGAACCATTTCGTGTAGATTTTCAGGAAACAAAACCTCCTGTTTAATGGAAATCTACATAAAATGCACGAAACAAAGGCGATTTTGATTTTTAGATTCAACCATAAACTTATTATAATCGAAGCAATTTGTTAACTAAACAACAATAAGACGTCAAATTTATGTAAGCAAGTAATCTTTAACGTCAAGTCATTGTCGGGTCGGAGTTGTTCGTTTAATACGCGAGAGTTGAAAAAGGGTTGTTTGAGAGGATTTTGATTTTTTTGAGAAAATTGTGAGTTTTTTTTAAATAGAACCGGAAGACGAAATAAAGTGGCACTGCAAACCAGTAAAACTCGCACCGATAATAGCATTTCAGTTTTCTATAAGAATATTTTTTAAGAGTTTATTCTTAGGGGTAAATTCCTATAGGACTCTATATTATAATTTATAAGTATAGATTCGAGTCAAAATTTTCATATTTTAATAGATAAATAATATTTATTGTGGCAAGAATACATTTAGTCAAATCAAACTAAATCCCCCAAAAACCTCCCTATCAAAAAAATTCTCAAACATCCATCTTCTAAATATTAACAAGAAAATTAAATTAATTCGTAAAAAAATATAATATTTAATGTACAAACTCATACTCTAAAAACAGTACCGCCACAGCGCCACGCCCGTTGACTCCGTGAACTGCAAATAGCAAACTGCGCTTATGACTCCGACTTCGTGAACTGCAAATAGCAAACTGAAAATTAGAATTTGTATTATTGAATTGCAATCCAATAAAATACCAATGATTTCGCCAAATACAAACAGCAAACTGAAAGGGAAAAAAAACCAGAATTGGCATTATTTAGTTGCAAACAAAAACTACCTATGACTTAACCAAATGTAAATAGGAAACTGAAGAAAAAATTCAAAACGAGAAAAGGATATGTAACATGAAATTTCAAAATGCAAAATGAAAACAACTAAAGAAAAAAAAAAAAAAAAAAAGACTTATCCCTTAGTGTTACATTTGAGAGAATAAAACAAAAAAAAAAAAGACTAATGTGCAAAATGAAATTGCAAATTGCAAACAATAAAAAGATAAAAAAAATACTTAACCCCCATAACATAGGTGATTGCAAAATGCAACAATAAACAACATCTCACCCCAAAATCCCTTGCCGCTAACCCTAACTCAGTCACAAACCCTAGAGTCGTCACCGCCGTAATGAACCCAATCAATTGAGTGCAACCAGTCAAAGCCCTCAGTGAGGATGGTGGGGCCCAAGGCAAAAATATTGTGGGGATGAAGCAGAAGGTGGATTCTGAACGCCGGTGAAGAGGTGCATCAAAATCTGGTGGGTCGCATGCCGTAGAACCACCACTCAAGATTGGGGCAAGAATCTTCTGAATTGCCTTCCATCCTAGCAATTGGGAGAAGTAGAAATTAAATACAAACAACAAACAAGGTCTCCAAAATAACGAACGATTTATCCAAAAAAAAAGAACAAGCAATATTTCACACAACTAAAAAACAAACGAAAAATATTTGGTTAGAGTTTGTTGAAGATTCTAACTATGGGAGGATTCAGAAGGAAAGGAAAAAAAATTGGAATCGAGAAAGAGATGAGAGAAAGAAATTGATCTGAAATTGTTTTCGAAAAGATGCTTATCGGGAAAAAAAATTGAAAGGAAGGGAGACACACGATGGAGAGACACGGGATAGAGGAAGAGAGATGAGAGATTAGATATATAGGGAGAAATATGTGAGATTGGAGAGAGAGGAGGAGTGGTATATGAAATTTATTTTCTTTTTAATTAAGGGTGTTTATGTCTATGTACTAATTATTTTATTTTATTTATATTATTTTTCGATCTAAAGACCTAAATCTATATTCATCTAAAAATTAGGATGTCAAGTTATATAAGTCCAAAATAAAGGATGTCTAGCCAATTTCTCATTATTCTTATTGAATGATCATACAGCTGTGCCTGTGATCACAATAAATAAGACAGAGACATTTGGATGCAATAAAACGTGGAAACAGGCTCTGTGACTCGAGATCATTTACTAAACTAAACAAGAGATAAAATAAATATTAAATTTATACAATAAGATAATTATTTGGCTATTTGGCTATTTGGCTCTTTGGCTCAACTATATATATAAGAGTGGAGCGAACAAGTTATATCAGCATACATATCCAAAATAATTAATAATCTTGAATTTCCTTTTTCAAAGTTTATATTATACATATATATATATATATATATATAACTATGGCATTTCTGCGCAATAAGCTGGTTGCCCACGTGGCATTCAAGGCCGGTGGAGATGTGTATCATCGGCTATTCACTAATAATCCACCCCATTTGACCAAAGTTACCCCTTCTAAATTCCAGAGTTGCGAGCTGCATGAAGGCACCTTTGGAACCAATGGCTCTATTCTCCAATGGACGTACACTGTTGGTGAGCATATAAAAAACTTATATTCATTTTATTTTATAATTATATATAATATATTATGGTCTCGATTGATTTGGTTGAATTAACTAAATAGTTAAACTTTGTCGGGTCGACTCGCCAAAATTATGTTATCATGGTTTTTCTTACATTATCTTGTCTTTTAGATACTTTTTTTTTATTAGAATTCCAAAGATCCGATAATATAATTGAGTTTTCATTAGATTATTTAAGTGTGTGGACTATATCTTAAACCCTAAAGTAATTTCACTAATTAAAATTAGTTAAGCAGGGTAAATATGGTTAAAGAAGTGCATATCTTTAAAGTTGGGTTCCACTAATACTTGTTCAATTTGTCCACATGGCATCATATGAATGGCGTCCATTTTTTCACTACAAACGGATGGTCGGCTTATAATGTTTTCTCATGTTTATTTAGATGGGGAAGTGCAGACATGCAAGCAGATAATCCAAAACGTAGATGAAGAAAAGAAACAATTCTCGTACAAGTTCATTGAAGGAGATCTGCTGGAGTTGTACAAGGATTTTGTGGTGACGTGTCACGTTGAGACCAGAGACGGGGTTGACTACATCACATGGACCATAGACTACGAGCTTCTTAAGGCCGACAATCCACACCCAATTAACATTCTCAAGTTTGTCATTGGATTCACTAAAGATATTGAGACTCATATGTTCGGATGATCGATGGGATTGAGATTTATATGTGTGCTCGGATTTTCACCAATTGCTTCATATGTTTATTTCTCTACATTTGTTGTTCTAATAAAAATTAGCATCCTAGGTTTGATGATGCTATAAATAAGATATGTGTACTTCCAAATAAGTGAGGCTTTGGTGAATTATATATTTCTACTTGTTTTTTCATGTGTGGATAATTTTGTCACATTTATGCATGTTTTTTCTTTTTCTTTTTTTTTTTTGGGTTGCAACTTGCAATAGTTATTAACTTGTGTTCATACATCCGTTTTTCCTTCAACTTTTGTTTTCAATGTTAAAATAGAAAGTAAATATAATTAAAATGAACCAACCCTTATTAGGAGAGTTGGTATCTAGCTTTATCAATAGGGTAAAATGTCTAGGGTTCGAGTCCCCCCTCCCCTACTTCCCATTGTAATGACTTGAATTACTCAAAAAAAAAAAAGAATGAGAAAAATATTAACATGGTTTGGATATAATTGTATCTTATGTTCAAGCATTAGGATCTGCAAAGAAAAAAAAAATCTACTAATTCAATTTTTGATTTACAATATTGATTAAAACATATTCAATAAATCAAAGCTGACTCCCTCTTTGTCTTGACGCACTTTGTGAAGACCATTCGAATTTTGTGGTTTTGAATCTACTTGCTCCTCAACTTCTAACAGTTGAACACCGATCTTATTTTTGCGTAGAAGAATAAAATTTGATTTTTATCTAAAGGAAAAACTTGACGCTGGAGCACTAAAGGAGGAAGAATCATTTTCTCTCAAAAATGCATGATTTGCATTGTCCCTTTCGCTCATGTTTACACATCTCAATTTATACAATAATCCATAAGAGCATCTCCAAGCGCATAATGTATACCTATAATATACATTTTTTTGCACATTTTCAACCCAAAATCACATCTGCAACAATAAAATGGGAAAAAGCAAAATTTGTTAGATTTTAACTTTGCATATCCAAAATTGAGAAACCAAAACTACAATTTAACAAATTGTGTAAAAATAAAGAATAATAAAAACTCCATCGGTACCATTTTTTTTTATATTAAATTTACAGTGCACACTATATGTTTCCATGTATAATTGACTTCTTATTAATCAAACAAAGAATGTTTATTGTTTTGTAATGTACGTGTACATAACATAAATTATCATTTGCAATATGTATATAGTTTAATTCCAAACAAGTTCCCTGACTACAAAACTAAAACAAGATATATGTATGTGTTATGAAATCAAAATTATAGCTGCTAAAATTAATTCAAAACTAGTGTTTTTATAAAATAATAAAATATGATAATAGTGTAGAATATAAACAATGTTGTTGGAGTGTGATGTTAAAAGTGGTGTTACATAACACGTTCACATCGAGATAAACAATCCACTGTTGGAGATGACATAAAGAGATGGATGTATAAAAGATATGGATTAATAAGAGCATCTCCCACCCTTAACACTATTTTTCTACCAAATCCTATTTTTTGTGGTGAAAAATGGTGTTATCTCCCACCCATTGCACACTATTCTATAATTTCTCTATTTTTAGTGACAAAATAGTGTATTTAGTCTCCCACCAATTCCATCAAATTTTACACCAAATAATAAAATATTAATATTTCACCATTTTACCACTTATAGAAAATAGGATTTGGTTTGATCTCCCATGCCATTTCACCAAATATATTACAAAATTATAAGTTTAATGTTAATTGTAAATTTAGTCTATTACCAAAATATTGATTATGAATTTGATCTTAAATAATGATTTTATTAAGTATATAATTTAAAAATTATGATAAGTATCAAAAATTTATTGAAACATGAATGAAAATCGACTTAGATTATTATACATATAATAAAATAACAAATAAACAATAATTTCATCAATTATTGCCTAAAACTCTTAGGTCCCGTTTAGTTGACAAGATAAGTCATGATTAACTAAATAGTTGGACTTAATTTGATGTTTGGTATCCTCAATAAATTGTCGGGTCGACCCGCCAAAATTATATAATCATGGCTTATCTTGCCTTATCTTGGCTTATCTTGGCTTCTAATGAGTTTTTTTTTGGACGTTTCAAGCTCCAATAAAATAATTGGGTCTCATTCGATTATTTAATCTTATCTTTGTTAATCTTATCTTGTCAACCAAACGGGGTCTTACAAGATAAATTAATCATAAAACATTACAACATAAATTAATCATAAAAACATTACTACATTTTTCTTGGCCAAAAAAAAAAATATTTCACAGATAACAAGGGCCTCGTTAAAACCTTGTTTGAAAACTAATTAACTAATTAACACTAATATATTTACTATAAGCATATTTATAAGTTGGTAATCACATGAAATTAGTTAATATAATAATTTTATATGCTAATTATAAAATGGTGTTAATTACACCAAATTCTATTTCCACTTCTATATTTGATAGAAAAAATAGGATTTGGTGGAAAAAATGGTAAAATGGTGGATGGGTGGGAGATGAAAATTTCTTCACCAAAAATTTTAGTGAAAATATAGGATTTAGGGATATAGTGATATAGAGTTTGACCAGAGTGAGAGACTAAACTAAATCACTATAATTTTAAGTATAATGGTGATTTAGAAATTTAGGTTGAGAGACGAAAAACACCGAAATTAGATAATAAATATGAGATTTGGTGATGGGTGGGAGATGCTCTAAGAATTTTTCTTTATCTAAAAATATACGATCCTAATCAAAAGAAACTACTTCATAGAAAAGATGGGCGAATCGCGAATGCTATCAGACCAAACTATGTCCTACAAAATTAGTCAACCCCTTGTCTTTTGCCAACATAATACCCCTCCGAATATAATTTACATCCATAATATCCCAACTCAATAAATGTTGCACATGGGTCTTCAATTTTAATAAAGAATAAACTGCCAAAATACCCTTGTATTTCAAAATAACGAAACTCCCTATAATAAATAAACTAGCAAAAACCCCTCATTAAATTATTTATATAACACACTTGGCCCATTTTTCATTTGAGTATTGACTTGATATAAAAAGACACAAATACTTCAGGATTTTGCAATAAATAAATTCTTATAATTTATACATATTTTAATTATTTTATTTTTGTTACATCTTGATTTGAAAAATACAATGGGGTCTTTTATTTTTTATTTTTTTATTATCAGTTATTATTGCATATATTTTAAATTATCCCTACGTCAAAAGAAAACTTAAATTCATTATTATGCATTTCTTAATTTTGTATTTAAAAATAAACTATACTTAATTTGATTACCAAAATTTTTAATATTTTTTCAATTTAATTGTTACTAATTTTTTTAATAAAATTTTAATTTCTAAACAATCAAATTAAAATATATACACATATATCTATATATACAGAAATACATTTTGAGGGACAATTTCGTCATTTCACGCCAAAAAATCAGCTACCAGGCGCATATCTAGCGAGTGAGCCATACGAAAATCAACAGGGGAGTTTCTGCCTTTAAATTCACGGGGGTTTTTGCTAGTTGATTTATCACATGCGGGTTTTTGTTATTTAGATATTACACACGAGTACTTTTTATAGCCTACTCTTTTAATAAATATATCACATTAACCTCTATTTCCACAATGTTTTTAAAAAAATATTTTTTTTCAAAAAGTAAATTTTTTTTGAAACTTTTTTCCTCGCCGGTCACCAGTGTTGACTTTTTTATGTGCTTACTTTTTTTATTTTTCTTTTTCCCGAATAATATTTTTTCCTGCCGCCGCCTTTGACCTCCGATTTCCGGTGTTGACCTTTTCCTTTTGTATTTTTTTTGAATTTTTTTGTGGTTTTTTTTTTTTTGGCTGCTGAACCCACAATAATTTCACTTTCACGGTTATATTACATATTTTTAACTTTATTCTTTTACATTTTTTAATAGCCATATCACTGTCTCAAACAATAATATTAATGTAATCATCGTCATATTAATTTTTTAACTTTTTTTTTCTATTTTCTTTTTTCTTTTTGCAACTACCACAATTATATTACTGTCTCAGGCAGTAATATTAACACAATATTATTAATGTGTTAACAACAATATTACAGTTTCGGTCTCAATGAAAGTTAACTGGGAAGGAATCCCCTTAAGATGCTGATGTAGTTTTTCTGGTTAGACTCGATATCCCCAATGACAATCACATCAATCTTCTATTTGAACTCTCTCTATGTGTAATTATCAGTGTCCTAAATTCAGTCGAGGTGACCGATTAATCGGTTTACGAGGGGGAGTGTAAATGTTTGAAAAATTGGTTTTTGCATGTGAGGCGGTTTTAGACGGCCGAGGTTGTCTTAGGCGGGTTGAGGCGGTCAAACCTTGGAGGCGGGTAAAACTTTGGTGGCGAAAATCGATAAAAATCCTATTTTTTTTGGACTTTTAATAAAAAATAATGAGTTTATGCTTTGTTTTTTTTTTTTTTATGCTCATTTTTATTTTATAAGGGCCTAATGATTTACGTTTTCAATGTTTAAGCATAATTTTGGATGTACAAGATTTTTGTTTTTATTTTTATTTTGTAAGGATTTTTATTATATCATGATCATAATTATTATTAAAATTCTATTATGTGATTAGGATATAGAAATGATGAGGATAAAATTATGTTTAAATATCTTTTCATATATGTTTTGAGTATTTACAAATAATGTCTAACATTATATTACATTAAATTTAATTTTGATTTATCACTAATTAATCACCGCTGTATTGATTAATCGTGAGGTGATGCCTTACCGCCTGGGACCCGATTCCCGCCTTTCACAACCTTAGTAATTATAGATCTCCAAACAAAAGTGTGTGCACTTGCACTAGGGCCATAATTCTCACCCGTGATGACTTATCAAGGCCAAACGAGCACACTCCAACTACAATAAATCCGCGAAGGAGACAATAACCAACTTGAAGAACATGAGAGATTAAAACATAAGGAACACAAGTAGCATATGGACATATGCAGTCAGAACATAAAGTATATCAACTCATATAATCTATATTAAGACGTCAAGTATCTTTCAAATCTACCATGAGAGCATTTCAAATGAGTTTGTTATTCAAAGTTATGGACAAGAGGAAATAGGAAGCGGCGCACAAAATCTATCTATATAATATATCAAGGTTGTAAAAATCG